AAAATTGATCCAGGTATTGGAGTTCGAAAAAAGTCGCAACAACCATGTGTTCCAAGTCTGTACGATTCCACGAAGTCGTGAAGTTGGTCAGAGCTTTCTGACTGCGGTTCCAACAACATTGTATGCTTTCGCTTTTGCTTTACACTTAATCTGGAAGGCCAGGTACGCCGTTGCTCATTAGAAACCTGACTAATAGGTGTTTTCTTTTTTTCTAGACCAGATCTCCTTTTGGTAAACGGTCCGGGTAGCTGTATTCCTGTTGTCTTTGCTGCAGCTCTTCTTGATATGGTGCGTTTGCGCGATACAGTCATTATCTACGAGGAATCGCTATGTCGTGTTGAAAGCCTATCGCTGTCTGGTTTGTTAATTTTCCAATTTTCTTTCATTTCTATTTTATGCACTCAGAACATAAGGGATGAAAAGCTTTTGCGAAAAGTTTGAGATATCTGAAGCAGAGATGTTCTACCGTAGTTTTGACAACATGCGTCGGAAGGTGTACAAAAGTTTGGGAAACGCAGAGTACAGAGTTTCTCTTTAGCCACTATCCTCTTCTTTTAGCTCTTTATTTGTCAAAGAGTGCACCTTACAAATATTTTACTGTGGATCAATCGATGTCTGCGTTCACTGTGACTTGTATAAGTGCACTATTCTCACAATATAGTCTATTCATTGTGTCAAATTTCCTAAATAGTGATCAAATCGACATTAAATAAACTTGGTATCATGCATGGTCCGACTGAGATTTGTAGCTAGAGCAGGGGGAGTCTACAGAAATTGTCAATAAGCTCTAACGAGTATATTCTAAACGCAAAGAAGCAGAAGCATTCTCAACTTGCTGTTATTTAGGCTCAATTTTGTACTTTCTCGGCTTGGCAGATGACATAGTTGTGCAATGGGAACAATTAAAGGAGAAGTACCCTAGAACTACCCTGATTAGTGATTTGAAATGAATTAGCTCGTTATCACTTGCCATATTTTACGTGTTCATTAAATGCCACTATGGAATATTCTGCCCTGTGATGTTTCTAGTCTAGGCTATATGCTTTTTTACTGCTTTCCAAGCTTTAGTCGACACTTTACGATTTTCTCATGTACCATTACATGTTGAGTGTACTATAACTCGTGAAGTAATTCTCTCCTTTATTGAGATGAATGAGGGTGAATGACGCTTAGGCCATCCCCTTCTCATAAGAAATTAGCTTGCTTTTGTTTATTTTGGCCATAGTATCACTGGTTTACGTATGTGCTTTCCACCGTGTATTTTCCGATACATCTCCTTATATGATTATTCGCTTTCATGATCTGCTGTGTATATTTGTAAATTGACGAGTAAATTTTAGTTTATGTTACAACATCTGCAAGTACTTTTTATAAATTAAATAGTAGTCTCTGTAAGTTATTGGTCTTTCATGAGCAGTAATGAAAATGAAGTCGTTCCTGCCCTAATGTTGGTTGTCACATACTTTTGGGATGATAGCTTTCTTCAAGTAACATTTGCTCTTCTGAAAACACGATTTCAGGAAGAAGGTTGCATTTTTTATGACTATGGAAGCTTTCATGGTTTGTTCTATGCCACAAATTTGCTATTTAGTAGCAGTCTAATTGGTTTGAATCTCAATAAGAGTTACTGAACTTCAAGAAAGTTGTGT